ACCTCCAGGGAGGCCTCCTGGATGAGACTGACTCCTCCCATCTCTCCTGGTGGTCCTCCCCACTCACAGCAAGCTTTTCTCAGAGCCTGTGCTGCTCCTGGCTGTGGGTACCTGTGTTCAGATCATTACTGTCTATCTACCCCACTACACAAAAGTACCATGAGTCTCGGGCTTATGAACGCAATCGAACGCTCTACACTACTCCACATCCGAGTGCCTCCATCAAGGTTCCAGTGAAACAGAACCAGGGACAGCAAGCTAGGCTGGCCAGGACAGCCACAGCAGCAGGCTATGGAGAGGTCCTGCTGGAATCACTGACTACACGGCAGCTACATGGCCTGCGGCTTCCTGTTCCATCCCAGCGATGAACTGTGGGTATACTGGCAGGAGGGGGTGGGGTACAGATAACCTTTTTCTGTCTGAGGCCCTCTGGGTCATTAGAAGCTGATAGGGAAGAGCCTGTAATCTGTCAGGAAGACTACCAAGAATGGATGGGAGGAGAGGAAAAGGCTGTGCTGGCGGGAGTGGCTTCCTATTGTGTGCCCTCTGTACTCCTTTCTTTTAATTCACGTCGCATTTCATGTCTATCGGGTTAAAGAATGACCTTGGCAATTAAAGCTGAGAAAAAATGAAGGAACAGAAACTCAAAGGCCAATCCCCTCAAAGACTTGGTTTCAAGACAATGCAAGTCCAGCACCTGTGAGCCTGAACTTGGCCTTTGGCTCATACACAATGGTCACGAGGCCACTGTTTACTGCAGTGTGTATTTACTGAGACACTCCTCAGCTCTATGGACGTTGCTGGATGGCTGGGGCTTTTGGCTTTGGTGCTGGGAGCCCAGGTCCTGGCCTAGATAAGTGCTACACACCCACAGGACATCTGCTGGATGCAGCTACCTTCAAATCTATCTTTAAGAAGTGTTTATAGGCAGAGGTAGGCCACTCTCTTGTGAGTTTGAGGCCAACCTAGTCTACAGGGTGAGTTCCAGGACAGCCAAGGCTGTTACACAGAGAAACCCTGTCTGGGAGGGAAGTGTTTGAGCAGCTGGAGATGGCTCAGCAGTTAAGAGTATTATGGTCAAAGTTCCACCCAAGCCCCCTCCCCTATCTCTCTCCAAACCCTGCTGCATCTCAGAAAGCCCTCCAAACGATGACCCCTCCCCCAGAGATGCTCAAAACCACTCCCACAGGGTATTTAAACTGTCTCCCAGAAAACAGATGTGTGGTTTTCCAGTCTTCCTTTTCTGTCTCCTCTCTAGGGGGCTGGAAGGCCACTGGGGAATGTTGTACCCATTAAACATGGGCTTTTTCTAATTCTGTTTGATTTGTTCTGATTTGGATTGCTGCGTCAGCGGAGAGGCTTATCAGAGTGAAACTTTTCAAAGAGCACTGGCTGTTCTTGAAGAGGATGGGTTTGATTCTCAGTACCTCATAGTGGCTCACAGCTATCCCTAACTCCAGTTCTAGGCGTTCTGATGCCCTCTTCCGAACTACTGAACGACACTGCACACACGTGGTGCACATATATAAATGCAGGAGGGACACTCATACACACAAAAAAGAATCTTAAAAAGAAAAGAGTGAGGGCTGGAGAGATGGCTCAGAGGTTAAGAGTACCGACTGCTCTTCCAAAGGTCCTGAGTTCAATTCCCAGCAACCACATGGTGGCTCACAACCATCCGTTATGAGATTGGTGCCCTCTTCTGGTGTGCAGATATACATGCAGAATGTTGTGTACATAATAAATAAATAAAATCTTTAAAAAAAAAAAGAAAGAAAGGAGTGAAAGAAATGTGCAGGAGCCAAACACAGTAGCACACATCTTTAATCCCAGCACTCTGGAGGCAGAGGCAGGCGAACTCTGTGAGTTCAAGGTCAGCCTTGTCTACATAGTGAGTCCCATGCTAACCAGGCAACACAGAAAGATCTCCCCCCCTTACACACACACACACACACACACACACACACACACACACACACACACACACACACACACGGGCGTAGTTTACTTGTAGAACAGTTGTCTAACATGTATGAGGTTCTAAGTTCATTCGGGCAGTAGTCAATTTTTCAAGTTAACCGCAGCTGGGCAAGTTAATAATTAAGCAGGTAGCTGCAAAATAAGATTAAATATGGCTAGAAAAGGGGGCTCTGAGCATTCCTAACACAGGAACTCGAGTGCTCCCACACACACACACACACACTCTCACACACACACACACACACACACACCCTGGGTGTTTACCTCCAGAAGAGGTAGGCAGCTTTTTTCTCTCTCTAACAACAAACACCAAGAACCAGAAAGGAGAAGTGTGTCGCCTGGGGACTTGATGTAATGGTGAGCACATAGCCAGACCCTCACAAGGACAGCCAGGGCACAGAGGAGTGGGGACCAGCCTCGGGTGGCTTCAGCCAGCAGGACTGAGGAAAACAGAAGTGTGTTTGGGGGTGTGGGGGAGTAAAAGGCAGAAGGGGGCGCTGGTCAGAGAAGGGCTTTAAGCCCAAAGGCCAGGAAGTGGTGCAGAGAGCCCACAGTTGGTAGCAACAGGCCCCGCTTAACTTCTGTGGGAGAGTGGAACAGTGGGCCCCGGATCCAGATGAGACCGGGTGGATCTTGGACCTTGGGATCTCAAGTCACATAGCCATTCTTTTGTTGTTTGTTTGTTTGTTTTTGAGACAGAGTCTCTATGTGGCCCTGGCTGACCAGAACTCAGAGATCAGCCTGTCTCAGTGCTGAAATTAAAAGTGTGCACCATTGCACCAAGCATGAATGTATTGCTTTAAATCTGGTGCTACAGTCTTTGTTGACCTCAAATGGTAAAGATTTTTCCTAGATTAGTCAATGATCTCTGCCATCAGTGACCAGGGGATGTAGCAGGAGGCACAGCTTCTCAACCTCTGGGGCTTTTCCTCCGATGGTACACCACCGTCAATCTCAGGGTTTGCCTGGCCTGGCCAACTGCCTCCCCAAAGTGAACCTACAACAAACCCACTGTGACCACATATGAGCTGGCAGCTCCTCCTACTTCCGGGAACCCTCCCTCATGTAGGCCAGGTTAGCCCTGAACTCATTATGTGGCCAAAGCTGGCTTTGAATTCTTGCTCCTCCTACCTCTACCTTCCAAAGGATTGCGTTACAGATATTTGCCATCACACCAATTTCAACACTATCATTTCCCAGCATCTGTCACATTTCAGTTTTCTAGGAATACAGAGAAAATTGAGGTTACAATCGTCAGGGGCTGATCACATGATCAAATGAAATGCCTCTTGGTTCCAGTGATCACAAGGACCAAGGTTCCAAGAGTCCCAGAGAGGGCTCTGCTTGGCATCCAGGCTGGTGCCTTCACAAGACAATGGTGGGGTCTGTACTCTGAAAGTAGGGGAGTCTCCCAGGGCTGTAGCATGGGCCAAGCCTGGATTCACTCAGCTGTGTCTTGCCCCAGGCCTCCCAGGCTGGTCCTTGGGAATGGAGACAAGGAACAGTAGTCTGGCACAGCTCAGAACAGGACAGGATAGGTTCCAGCCAGTTCTAAAGCACTGTGAGTCAAGCAGACTACCCTGTCCAGTCTGAGGGAAGGTGGACATGGAAGGAGACTGGGCAGGGAAGGACAAACAGGACAAAGCCAGAGACTGGGGGAAGCTATGGCCAATAGGCAGGGGCTTGGTTTATGAGACGATTTCTGGGAATGCAGAAGCAAGCCTGGCTGGACTCTCTCCTGCTGCAACAGGCACCTCCTATTTAAGCTCCAAAGGGAAAATCATGGAGTGTGAAAACCCTGGGTTCCCACACACATTAGATCCCAGGGAGTTACCCAGCAGCTGAAAAGTAGACACAGTACCAGGGTGGCCCTAAAAGCCCGTATGCTGCAGCTCTGAGCCTGGTACACTCTAACTCCCATCCTTCTCTAAAAGAAGGCTTCTGGTCAGGTCATCCAGGCAAGTGCTACATCAGGGTCTCTGGCACAGAAGGCAACCATTCTGGTCCCCACACAGGTCAACTTCAAAGCCCAGGCTGGGACTTTCCAGGCCTCAGATGCTCCTTTTGTTTTTTGTAGTGTTGGTGTTGGAACTCAGGGCCTTGCACCTCTAGGCAAGTGCCCTACCCCAGAGCTACACCCCCAGCCCCAGCCTCATCTTTTCCTGGGCTCTCTGACCCGTGGCCATTTCTCTCCACTCCTGCAGTGTTTTCTCTTTGGCCTGGCCGTCCCTGGCCACAGTCTTACCAGGCTTCCCTACCCAATCACTTTTATCTCCTGATCTGTTTATTTTCCTTTCCTATTACTACTGGCTACCTGGCTCCCCAATATTTAATTTTTTTCAATTTATTTTTTTTTCTGAGTGTTTGTCTGGAGAGGCACAGCTGCTACAACACCCATGGGGAGGTCAGAGGACAACTTTTGGGGGTCCCTCCTTTCACTATGTGGGCCCCAGAGATCAAACCCAGGTCATGAAGCTTGGCAACAAATGCCCTTACCCACTGAGCCATCTTCTTGGCCTCCATTTTTTGGTTGGTGGTGGTGGTGGCTGGTTGGTTGGTTGCTTTTGGTTTTTTCTTTGAGACAGCATTTCTCTGTGTAGCCCTGGCTGTCTTAGAACTCATTCTGTAGACCAGGCTGACCTCAACTAATGAGATCCACCTGCCTCTGCCTCCCAAGTGCTGGGATTAAAAGTGTCTGCCACCATCACCAGCTCCAATATTTTTTTAATTATAAAAATAAAAAGTTTTAGGTCTCTGGCTAGTTAGCATGTCTCCTGATAAACCCAGTGCCACGAAGGGTACACAGCAGGCCTGCAGATAATATCTGATAAATAAATGACTTGGTGTGTGAATTTTAACCTGGGAAAAAGAAGGGTCCTAGGGCTAGAGTGTAGCTCAGTGGTAGAGAGCTCATCTCACCGAGTTGGTTCCACCCCTTGTACTGATAAAAGATGGACAAGGTCTTCAGACAGACACATTAGCCCTTGCTGAGACCCCCTTGGGAACAGATGGTTACTCACAGCTCTGGACAATCTGGGCTGCTCGGTAGAGTTCCAGGTGACACAGGAGGTCCACCAGCTGCTGGACAGTGGCCTGTCGCATGGCCCACCACCACAGCAGCTCCCGAGTGATGCTCACACCCTGTACCCTCTCCATGGATTTGATCTTCCTCAGCTGTGTCAGGTCTGTGATCACATAGGAGGCTGGAAGACAAGAGAGGACTTTGCTTAGAGCTAGAGCTGCTGCCTGCAAGGGAGAGGCCCTTCCTGCCACACTGCTCCTCCCGGGTATCAGCATGGCTACTGCACCCAACAGGAGGAAGATCACAAGACAGGAGCCTGGGAGTCTTGAGTAGAGGCAGTGTCTCTGCTTGGGATGGTCTCTTCCCCAGAAAAAGCCTCAGTGGGGAGCAGAACTGTGCCCACTTCATCTAAACAGAAACCCCCTGAAGGCAGAGAGTTTCATCTCTCTCCAACAATGTCACATCCCCAAATGGAGACACTGCCTGGCTGAAGGGAGGGCAGCAAGGTAGGGAGGCCCTCAGCCTCAGGGACACCCTGCTCTTGGGGGACCCCAACAAATGTCCTCTGATGTTGTTCCCTGAGTACCTGGCTAAGTCTCAACTCTGGTGGGAAAAATCCATAGATCTGTGATGGATGAATGAACAAATGAACCCATGGTCACTGTCCTTATGGAACTGTCACAGGGACAAACACAGCCCATGGGGTTGGCACTTTGCTAACTGTGACACTCTGGGCAGAACTGCAAGGAGCTGTGTTGGCAATAGTGCAAAATTATGCATTCCTTTTTTTGTTTGTTTGTTTTTTGTTTTGTTTTGTTTTGTTTTCGAGACAGGGTTTCTCTGTGGCTTTGGAGGCTGTCCTGGAACTAGCTCTTGTAGACCAGGCTCGTCTCGAACTCACAGAGATCCACCTGCCTCTGCCTCCCGAGTGCTGGGATGCCACCAATGCCCGGCTATGCATTCCTTCTTTTACTTTTTGAAACAAGGTCTTACTGTATAGACCAGACAGGCCTCCAATGCAATAATCCTTCTACCCTTGTCTCCCATATGCTAGCATTACTGGCTTCCCTTTGCATTTGTTTGGTATAAAATAGACGGTTGTTGCAAGGTGTTGGTGGTGCTTGCCTGGTCTCCAGAGCGAGTGCCAGGATAGGCTCCAAAGCTACACAGAGAAACCCTGTCTCATGAAGAAAAAAAAAAAAAGACGGTTGTTGTCATGGAACTACACGGACAATCCCACCCTCCCTGGCCAAGTCCACTAGGCCAGTCTCTCTCATCCTTCACAAGGTGCTGGCTTAGGTAAGACCCTGTTCTTATTTGTTAATGTTGTAGTTCAAGCCTTCTCCCAATTAATCTAGGTTCCTCTTTTGTTACCATTTGCCAAGCTTGATGGTGAACACCTTTAATCCTAGCACTCTGGAGACAGATGCAAGAGAATTTCTGTGAGTTTGAGGCCAACCTGGCAAACATAGTGAGTTCCAAGCTAACTAGGACTACATAGTGAGATTCTGTATTAAATTCTTTTTCTAGAATTATTATTGTTATCACTGTTTTATTATCATGGTGCTGGACACTGAGCCTAGAGCCTCATTTCATATGACTCTACTCAGAGCTTTTCTCTCCAGCTCATAAAGTTTGTTAGTTTGGTTGGATGGATTTTGTTTGTTTTGCAGAACTTGGGTTTAAAATCAGAGTCTCATTCATGCTAAACCACAGATCTACATTCCCAGCCCTTAAAAGCTATTTTTCTTTTTCTTTTTTAAAATAGGGTCTCACTATGCAGAACAGGCTGGCCTCGAACTCACAGATCTGCCTTCCTCTGCCTCCCAAGTGCTAGGATTACAGGCATGAGCCACCATATCCAGCCCTGTCACTGAATTTATTGACATAAGGGACACATTTAAAACAAACAAGCAGGGCTTTGGTGGCACAAGTCTTTAGTCCCAGCACTAGGGAGGCAGAGGCAGGCAGATCTCGGTGAGTTCAAGGCCAGCCTGGTCTACAGAGTGAGTTTCAGGACAGCCTCAAAGCAATACAGAGAAACCATGTCTCGGGGGAAAAAAAAAAGAAGAAAGAAAAAAAATAAAACTAAAACAAACAAACATTGAGAATGATGTAGCCTGGGCAGGTATCGTGATGGAAGAGCACCTGCTAGCATGTGCAGGTGACCCCAGGCTCCATCCCCAGTACCGCAAAACAAAACAGAACAAAAAACGAGGAATTAAAAAAAAAAATCAAGCCTTAGTCAGGCAGTGGTGGCTGGTGTCTTTAATCCCAGCACTTGGGAGGCAGGAGGATTTCTGTGAGTTCGAGGCCAGTCTGGTCTACAAAGCAAGTTCTAGGACAGCCTGACTCAAAAAACAAAAATAAAACAAAAACCCCAAAGCAAATAACAGCAACAAAATCAAGCCTTGGTGCCAAGAGTTCAAAAATCCCAGAGTGGGGATTTATGTGAGCACAAAGTCAAGTGTCTGGGGGACTGTGGTGATACAATGTTTGCCTCCCACCAATGAGGCTCTGGGTTCAGCCCTAGCACCACAAAATAATTAATTAATTAATTAATTTAAAAAAGGCATTAAGTACTGTGCTGGAGACGGGATGAGCTTTAGAGAGAACAAAACTCCATGGAGATTTTCTGTTTGGATTATGGGCTGGGAGTGGGGGGAGCAGAGGACAGGAAGGCCAGAGACAAAGCTCAGAACTCCCTAGGACCATAGAAAACATCAGAGCCAAGATAAATACAATGGACCTTATACTGTCAGTCCCCTCTAGATAAATGAGGAAGGGGTGAGACATTCTCCTACAGAGAAAGCCTCCAGGAGAAGTGCCCTGTAGGAATGGAAAGTTCAGAGTTGCTGTTTTAGTCACTGGAAACTCCAAACCAGATTCCTAGCCAATGGGAAGTGATGCAACAGCCCAGAGTCCCCTTCCCACTGTTCTCAGGGGCAAAGAGGAAGGAGTGATGTCATGACAAAGCCAGCCCAGTGAGGGTGCTGTGGACTGGGGCTTGGCCCGCCAGAGCCTTGACCCTCCCTGAATTTCAATTTCCTCCCTGGAGAAATAGGAAGTGAACCTCAGGGTGCCTTCTAAAAGGGAGAGTTTAGTCTACACCCAGGATCGGGATGTGCAGAGAGTTGGGGGAGTTAGTCACTGCCAAGGTCCTCGATAGGCTATGGCTCTTATTAATCTGATCAAAGTTGTCCTTATCTTCCTACCTGGGAGACCCAAGGAAAACACTGGCTGCATTCTGGCAGCTCTTTTCCCACCCTTTCCCCACAAGTGTGAATGCTACAGATCTGGTGTTCCACAAAGGGCCCGGGGCTAATGGCTTGGTTACCAGCTTGGTACCTGGAGAGGTAGGAACTCTAAGGGATGAGATCCAGAGAGAGTATTCCAAGCACTCAGAGATGTGCTCTCAAGGGGCTATGGGAATCCAGCGCCTTCCATGAAGTGGCTTTGCCTGACCTTGAGCTCCACGTCATGAGGCATTGCCACAGGCAAAAGCAGAATCAAAAGACCATTCACTGAAATCTCTCAAGCTGTGAACCAACCCTTTCCTTTTTCTGAGGCAACTCCCTAGGGTGTTTTTTCACAGTGACTGAGTTGGTTGACACAACATGTGAGCAGCCCTGGCACTTCCTTGCTGTACATTTAGGAAAGGTCTCATCACCTCTCCCAGAGCCTCAGTTTTCTCATCAACCTCAGAGGAGGCTACAAGAACTAGATGAACTCTATACACTGGACACCTGGGATAACACTTGGCACTCGGTCATGGGGACATAAATGTGACATTGCTCTATTCTGATTGCCAAATCCTGGGAAAGCCTAACAGTCCTGCAGAGCAGAGGTAGCCCAGCCTCCTGAAACGTCCCTCTCCCAACTAGCCAAACTCCACTGTGTTCCCTCAGTCTTTTACAGATGAAAGGCTCAGAGACATACAGTCACTTGCCTGAAGTCACACAGCTAGGCAGTGCACAATGGCTTCTATGCACTGGAGAGCAAGGAGAGTGGTCCTACAAAGGGGCTCCTGTAGGAGTCCCTCTGTACACACCCTTACGGTAAATGAAACTATAAGAAGCCCATTTAGACAGGTTCAGGCAGACACTGCAACTCTCTTTCCCAGGAGCAAATGAGTCCAGTTGTGACTACTGAGAAACCATCCAGGGACAGCCTACCAACTGGGTTAGATCCCAGTGTGTGTTTTTGTGGCTGTGGGTTTTCTTTTTTCTTTTTCTTTTTTTTTTTTTTTAGTTTTTTATTTTTTATATATTTGAGTTACAAACAAGATTGAATTACATGACAATCCCAGTTCCCTTCTACCTCCCTTCCTCCCCTGGCTGTGGGTTTTCTAAATCACTTTTAGATCTTCCCACACCCCACACCCTCCCTCCCAGGACCACAGCTTAAGATCGCCTTTCTCTAGAATGACTCAGAAGTCAAGACTTAAGAGTAGAAGGACAATCATCCAAGCTCTCCCTCCTTTGGGACATGGAAAACCAGAGTCCTGATACCAGCTGGCAGCTGCATAGCCAGCTCTGGGCCCAGTGACCCTGACCCTCAAAGGGAGGCCCAGCCTTGGGCTCAGAGCAGCCTGGGGTGAGACGATGCCCCACCCATGCGTCATTCTGTGGGTTGGGTGCTGAGCACCTGCCCACTTGCCCAGCAATGTCCTTGCCTCCAAGGACACAGTGAAAGAGGTAGCTCAGTCCCCACTCACCGGGCAGATGTGTTACTGAGTGAGGCTGAGGCAGGGAGAGTGAGGTGAGGTATTGGAGCTGGAGGTGAGAGCCAGAGCTGGCAGGCCTGCTGAGTAATGTCCTTGATATCCGCAATCAGTGATGCCTTAGAGGACTGTGGGTAGGTAATTCGGTCATCTCCAGGACTTGCAAACTCAGAGCAGTTCTCGGAAAAGGGTGTGTAAATGGCCAACAAGCAAGAACCGAAAAGAGGGACAAGGCCAGACTTTGATAAGATAAATAGTAGCCCTCCTATATGGAGGGTGGGGTGTGAGCCAGGGCAGTCCCTCTGGAAAACAACTGGCGGTGTGTCCCTCTAACGTGCAGTACTCACCCCCGGGGCCTGTGTGTGTACACCCAAGGGAGATGTATCCACATCTCCCTTGCATGCATCCACAGGACATACTACACAAAATGTCCACCGAGCATCATCGTGACTGCACAAGAACGAGAAGAGCCCAAATATTCATCAATGGAAAAATAGAGAAGCAAAATGTGAGACATCCGTACGCTGGAATATTACTTGGGTCTAAAAAGAAACTGGGACAAGGGAACTCACTCTGTAGACCAGACTGGCCTTGAACTCACAGAGATCTACCTGCCTCTGCCTCCCAAGTGCTTGGATTTAAAGGTATGTGCCACCATCACCCAGCCCATAAATTATATCTTAATAAAGTTTTTTTTCAAAAAGCCATAAGCCATAAGTGTACCTCTTACATTAACATTCTAAGAATAGAAGGTATCCTGTTCTGGACAGTTCAGGGCTGGGATGAAATGGAAAAAAAAAATTAAAGACCACACACACAGCTGGGCACTGCCCATGGAATTTTCCAAGTGAGCATAGAGCATTCAAGTGTTGGGTCACAGGGTCCCCTGGACAATCAGGTGGTAACAGACATCCTTACAGGCACCCTGAGACTAAGGCTGAGGGCACAAGAGCAGAGAGCCACTTCCTTTCATCCCAGATGTTACCCACACCAGCCTCCTAGTTCTCTTGTAAAGATGCAGAATGAAAGTGCACACTTCTGCCGGGCGTTGGTGGCACACACCTTTAATCCCAGCACTCGGGAGGCAGAGGCAGGTGGATCGCTGTGAGTTTGAGGTCAGCCTGGTCTCCAGAGCGAGTGCCAGGATAGGCTCCAAAGATACACAGAGAAACCCTGTATAGAAAAACCCAAAGAAAAAAAAAAAAAAAAAAAAAAAAAAAAAAAAAAAAAAAAGTGCACACTCAAGAGAAAATCCAAAGAATACTTTGCCAGTTGTGTAATCCCAGCTTCAGAGACGCTGGGGCAGGAAGATCACCAGCTTGAGGCCAGTGTGAGCAATACAACAGACCACTAGGGGAAGGGAAAAGCCTGTCTGTGAAGTACAGTTAAAAGCAGTTAAAAGCACTGACTACTCTTTCAGAGGACCCCAGTTCAATTGCCAGCATTCACACTGCAGCTCACAACTGTCTATAATTCCAGTTCCAAGGGACCCGACACCCTCACACAGACATGCGTGCAGACAAAACACCAAAGCACATGAAATAAAAAATTTTAAAAATTCTTTTAAAAGGCAGGCTGTTTGTCATAACTGGTGTACAAAAATGACAAGAGGGTTGAAATACGTGTCTATACTTCAATGCATTTGAGAAAAAGCAGAAGGCGCATTCCTGAGCACTATGGGGCTGCAAGACTAAGCAGCTAGCAAACATGAGCAACAATGGGTGTTACAGTGGGCTCTCAGAGGCTAAGGATGCTCATCTCTGTGCAGAACTGGGGCTCATCTTTCTGCGCTCCACTCCTGCAGTGTTTTCTTTGGTTTTTCTCCCTTTCTCTCTCTTCTTTGCACATCAACTTCCTTTCTTCCTGGGTTAAAGGGTCCCTGAACCCATCACTGCTGACTCTGGGGGCAGCTGTGCTTTGCTGACGGTCTGCCCTGTGGATGTTTAACAGCAGCCCGATGTTCACCACTGCATTTACCAAGGTGTGTCACAGGTATGTCTGTAGACATTGGCTATTGTTACTTATGGAAAAGAAAATCCCAAGCTGAGGACCACTACCTTAAAATACTTATGATTTCTTTTTTTTTTTTCTTATTTTCTTTTTCATTTGCAGGACTAGGGACAGATCCCAGGGCCTCCCACATGCTAGTTGAGTGTTCTCCCACTGAGGGACATCTTAACCCTAACATGCATATTATATGTTCAAACTTTAGGGACAACACACACGTATTCACTCTATTATTGTGTCAAGCATACCTACATATTATATACTTCTTAATTTAGTGCTATGCTTTTTATTTAAATTCTTTAATTACTACTCATATTTACATGTCCATCCCCCCATTCCCTCTCCCTCCCATCCTCCCAAGTTCCCCACCAACCCCCCCAACCTATCCCCCAACTCATCCCCAGGAATAGTGAGGCCCTCCACCAGGGACCTTCAAAGTCTGTCATAAGTGCTATGCTTTATAATGTAAAATATTGGGGAGTGATAGTTTTGTTCTCTTGTGTTTGCCTTCTGTCACTTAGCCCAGCTATTGTCAAATTCCCTATATATCTGCACCTGACTTTGAACTCCTGACCCTCAGGCTTCCGTGTCGCTAGTGTGGCATTATAGGTGTGTACCATACCACACGTGAATTTTAGGATTCACAGACTTTTTGGTTCAACAATAAACGTTAAAAGACACATGTTAACTGTCACTTCTGGGGTATCATCTAAAGGCTCGAAAACCACCCATTGAAAGTATAAAACAGCCACCTGGTGGTGGCACACACCTTTAATCCCAGCACTCGGGAGGCTGAGGCAGGCGGATCTCTGTGAGTTAGAGGCTAGCCTGGTCTACAGAGCTAGTTCCAGGATAGGCTCCAAAGCCACAGAGAAACCCTGTCTCGAAACCACCCCCCAAAAAAAGAAAGTGTAAAACAATTTACTGAGTATGATCTGTGTGCGTGCACATGCCATAGCTCATGCGTAGAGGGCACAGGACAACTTTGCAGAGCTGGTTCTCTCCTGACACTTTTATGTGGGTCCCAGGGATCGAACTCAGTCCATAGGCATGATATTGAGAGCCTTTACCCACTGAGCCATCTTGCCAGCCTCCAGTAATGCAAAAAAAAAAAAAAAAAAGTATTACTGAAGTCAGACATGGTGACACATTCCCGTAGTCCCAGCATTCCAGAGGTGGCAGTAGGAAGACCAGAAATTCAAGGTCATTCTTAGCTATGTAATGAGTTCTAGGCCACCCTGGGCAACATGAGACCATATCTTTAAAAAAAAATTAAAAGCAAACAATAACAACAATGGAATATATATATATGTATATATAAAAGAATATATATATATTAAAAGAAATTAAGTGACAAGTTACACTGACTTAAACCATAAAACTAAGAATGACAACTGTTAACCATGTCCTTTTGACCTACAAGAATAAGTGGGGGCAGTTTCTCAATTGGTATAGTACTCTATTGGGTTTCATCTCCAGCACCACATAGACCAAGCCTATAATCCCAGAATTCCAAAGTGGAAAAGTGAGGAATCCCAAGTTCAAGGGCATCCTTGTCTACATACCAAGCTCCAGGCTATCCTGGGCTACCTGAGTCCCTATTCAAAAATAGTAAAGAAGAGAAAAAAACACCAATGCATGATGTTCAAATCAGGAGGCTGAGAAAAGTGGACCACAAATTCTAAAAACCTGGGCTACATAAGGAAACCATCCATTTCTCAAAAAAAAAAAAAAAAAAAAAAAAAATGCCTTTGATATGATTCAGTGGTAGCTTCTTGCCTAGCAGGCACAAGCCCCTAGGATAAGTTCCCTCCACTACAATAATAGACAGACAGACAGACAGACAGTCAAGGGGCGCATACCTTTAATCCCAGCATTTGGAAGACAGAGGCAGGGGGATCTACATAACAAGTTCCAGGGCAGCCAGGGCTACACAGTGTTACTGTCTCAAAACAGTAAGAAAGAATAGAAAATAAATCACAGAATGACAATACTAGCCTTCGCGACACTACTTTTATTCTCATAACTGTATAACGAGGCTATAATTGTCACCTGCAGTTTATAGAGTAAGGCAAGTTTCAGGGAAGTTAAGAGAGCGGCCCCAGATACCACAAGCTGCAAAGTTCTGAGACTGGAACACATCCTGGGCAGCCTCGCAATTACGCAGGCAACCTGTCTCTAGAGGCTACAGCTCCATGATCAAGACACAAACAGGAACAAACAAAACAAACAAAAACACGCCAAGCGGCTACAGTGGGAGTTATCCAGAAGCCTGGGTTCGAATTCTACCCACCCTTCCATTTAGCCAGCCTAGGCTTTGGGCAAGTTCATAGGCAGCAACGTTCTATACAGGCATCCCCCGGCCTCGGGCGCGGATCTGATCCCGGGTTCCGGCCGAAAGTGGGCGGTGTCGCACTCACCGAACTGCATCCAGTCCCATTCGCTGAGCGTGTCGATGTTGCGGCACAGGTCATCTAGCACCCAGGACGGCAGCTGGTAGATGTAGCAAGCCATGGTGTGACTACGCGGCAACCGAGCCCGCGACGACTGAGCCCCGGCTGAGCGCTGCGGCTTCTGTAGAGAGGGGCGGCGTAGCCGCTCTGGGCTGGCAGGCGATCGAGCGCCCCCAAGTGATCAAGTGCGGCAGCACGCGCCATCCTGCCCATGTCCGAGAGCGAACAAGCCAGCGCCACCTAGTGGTTGCATTCGGTAGCAGATGTCACCCGACCCCTAGACCAAAGCAGTCCCTGAGGCTGGCCAACTCTACCTCCATGGCCTCCTGGAATGCATTCACCTAAAAGATGTTGGTGAGGCCTAAGTGAAGAAAATCTGGAGATTTTTGCCTTCAGTGTTGGGAGAAGGAATAAATTACACAATGTGCTAAACAATTTAGAAATGCACAGGGCGCCGGGCGTTGGTGGCACACGCCTTTAATTGCAGCACTCGGGAGGCAGAGGCAGGAGGATCTCTGTGAGTTCGAGGCCAGTCTGGTCTCCAGAGCGAGTGCTAGAATAGGCTCCAAAGCTATACAGAAAAACCCTGTCTCGAAAAACTAAAAAAAAAAAAAAAAGAAAGAAAGAAAAATAATGCACGGGGCATGGTGTCACACACCCGTCACCATTCTCTGCTGGCTGAGGCTGGGGTACTGTCACAAGTTCAAAGCCAGTCTAGTAACACACACTGAGCTCCAGGGCAGGCCAATCTTGTCTACAAAGTGAGACATGTCTCAAAAAATATTTAATTGAAAAGTAAGCTTGACAGTGGTGGCTGCACCTTTAATCCCAGCACTTCCAAGGCAGAGACCAAGTGAATCTCTGTGAGTTCGATGCCAGTCTAGTTTACAGAGCTAGTTCTTGGACAGCCAGGAAAGTTACACAGAGAAATCTGTCTCAAAAAAGACAAAAAATCAAAAATCAAAACAAATAAAAAACCACAACAATAATAATAAAAGCAATAACAGATAGTTTTCATGTCAATAAAAAAGTTTCTAATTGGGAAACCTTACCCTCTCCAAGGAGCAGATGGGAGGAGGGAAGGGGGGGCATGAGAGGAGGGAGGGGGAACTGGGATTGGAATATAAAAAATAATTTTAAAAGGAAAATAAATTTTTAAAAAGAGGGGGGTGTTCCTAATTGGGAAGGTGGGGCTGGAGAAGTGGCTCAGTGGCTAAGAGGCCTTACCTGCAGCAGTTCCTAGCAACCTACATGGCAGCTCACAATTGTTCTTATCTCTACTTCCAAGCAATCTGATGCCCTCTTCTGTCATCCTTGGGCACTAGGCATGCACATAGTACACATACATACATGTATTCAAAACACTGTACACACAAAATAAGATATAAAAAGTTAAGTTCATTTTAAATTTATTTGCTTTTTGAGACAGTTTCTCTGTGTAGTCCTTGTTGTCTTGGTACCCACTCAGTAGACCAGGCTGTCCTGGAATTCAGATATCTACCTGGCACTGCCTTCTGGTGATAGGATGAGAGGCTTGTGGCACCATGCCAGTCTTTAGTCCATTGTTTTGAACCTTATTTCTCTGCCACACTGGAGATCAAGGCCACGACTTTGGCATGCTAGGCAAGTATTCTATTGCTTGGTTTATCTTCCTAAGTTCCTGTAACTAGATTTTGTGGAGTAAAAGAGAGCCCCTCTCACACTGTGATGGATCCTACCCACCTGCTCCAAGAAGATTGTCACTGCATACTCTCCAGTCTGCCGTGGGTCCTCTTCACAGCTCGATCAGGCACAAAACTTGTTCACCTTCCCAATTCAAGTACAATTTTATGGACTGGTATACACGTGGCTTTTGGTTCGCCAGTGTTTTTAAGGGGGGGGAGTACAGAGAGATGGCTTAGAAGTCAATTTCCAGCACCCACAAGGAAGATCACAGCTGTCTGTGACTCCATTTCCAGAGGATCCAACACCCTCACACAGACACACATGTAGGTGGAACACCAATGCATATAAAATAAAAATATAAATTGAAAAACAAACAAAATTGATAAAACTAGTATTCTAATGTTAACCCAAAATTCAAAAAAGGGGGGGAGGCAATGTGTGTTTAAAGTTGAAGAAATGGTACTGACAAACATGCATCCCAGGCTTGGCATGATGGCACACACACCTGTAGTCCGAGGTACCTGGGAGGCTGAGACAGGAGGATTGAAAGCTTAAAGCCATCAGGGAAACTCAGCAAGATCCTGTCTCAAAATGAAGTAAGTAAAGCTAAGACTGTAGCTCATTTGCCAAGTCAGCACTTGCCTAGCATGGACCTTGGGCTCAAACTCTAGGAGTTACCCACCAACACACACACTAAAATACTGTTTGACTTCTCATCAGTTCTTGGGACCCACAGAGTAGGAGAGCGCTAGCTCCCAAAAGTTGTATGACTCTACATGTCCTCTGACATGCACACACACACACACAAATAAGTAAATGTATCAAAAGCTTTATTATTTTTGGCTTTTCAAGACAGGATTTCTCTGTGTAGCTCTGGCTGTCCTGGAAGTTGACCTATATAGACCAGGCTGGCTTCAAACTCAGAGATTTTCTTGCCTCTACCTCTCAAGTGCTGGGATTAAAGGGGTGCTCTCTGGGGCTGCTGCCATGTGACCCAAGCCTGCTGTGACCCTCACCTCTTCTAAGCCCTGGGTAACAAAGGAGCATTCTCTTGGGACATGGTTCAGTTAAGAGCATATGCTACTCTTACAGAGGACTGTAGTTAAGTTCCCAGCACCCATGTTAGGCAGCTTGAAACTGGTGTAACTCCAGTTCCAGAGGATCTGACGCCCTCTTTGGCACTCATGTGTACAGATACACAAACACACACAGCTCAGTTCCCAGCACCCATGTTAGGCAGCTCACAACTGGCTCTAACTCCAGTTCTGACATCCACAGGCACTGCACTCATGTACACACACACACACATACACACACACACACACACACACACACACTTTTTAAAAATACATTTAAAAGGGGGCTGGAGAGATGGCTCAGCGGTTAAGAGCACCGACTGCCCTCCAGAGGTCCCGAGTTCAATTCCCAGCAACCACATTGTGACTCACAACCATCCGTTATAAGATCTGGTGCCCTCTTTTGGTGTGCAAATAAATGTACATGGAAGCAGAATGTTGTATACATAATGAATAAAGTCTTTAAAAAAAATACATTAAAAGTCAGGATCCTGTTACAGGTAAAGAATGCAACTCCCTTGCAGGTGAGCTGCTGAGGGGTATCCCTGCCCAGATAAAACTCTCCTGAACTTACTGTAAGCATTACAGCGGCTTGGATGGAAAGATTCTGGCATGTTAACAGCTCCAATGAAAAGTATTCTGGCACTCAGGAACCAAAGTCTACCACAGGTCACAGTAAGCATAGCAGCTTACAGCCCTGCTCCAGGGAAAGGCTTGCCCAGTGTTATCAGCTCTGGTTGGGCAGGGGCGGATTTCCCCAGCTTCAGTTGGTACAGTTCCAGCTCCAGTCCCTGGGAGTGTGGAGTGTAACAACTTCACTTCCCTACCGAAGATTTCCCCTGGCAAAAAGTGTTACAGCCCTGTTCTGCTCCACTCTGCCCAAGGCCATCTCTGCTCCAGTGAAAGAAGGTCTCACCCAAACCTCATTCAAGATTTATTGGGAGGGAAGAATCCAGGAGAGTGGCTGCCCCTGCCAGGGTGGAAGAAGATAGCCACAAACTGGACACAGAGTTTCTATAGGGTTTCTTAGGGGCGGAGTTTCCTGTCTTCTACTTAATAGGGACAGGCACCTACATGCTGCTGAGGATTAGCTTCTAATTTAGAAACTAGTTTCAGGCTTTTTTTTTTTTTTTTTTAAATAATCCAGTGCTATTGCTCAGTCTTTTCTAATGACCACCTTAAATCTCATCTAATTTTTCTCTGATCTGCTGTCTTAGTCTAAACACCACGATGAAAAGCATCCCGGAGAGGAAAGGGGAGGAAAATTCTTTCAATTTACAGAACCACATCACAGCCTCTTGGATGGAAGTCGGGCACGAGCTGAAGCAGAAGCCATGGAGGAGCGATGCTTACCAATGTGTTCACCCTGCTTTATTACAGTATACTCAAGACCAGCAGCCCTGGGCTGACACTGTCTGCAATGGGCCTGGCCCTCTCACATCAATCATAAATCAAAAAAAAAAAAAAAAAAGAAAGAAAAAGTTGTCCTGCCGAACAATGCTATGGAGGCATTTTCTCAATTAAGACTCCATCTTCGCATGTGGTCCTGCCTTTGTGTAAACTGACATAAAAGTTAGCCAGCAGCCCAAGTGATGGTGTTCACCCTTAATTCCAAGGGCTTGGAGGCAGAGGCAGGTGGATCTCTACGTGTTCAAGGCCAGTCTGGTCTACAAGGCAAGTTATAGGACAGCCGGGACTGTTACTGAGAAACCCTGTGTCAAACCCAGGACTTCTGACATGATAGGCAAGTGCTCCCCCTTTGAGACACACTTCTATTTCACATTTCTCTAGCGTACCAATCAAAGTGCAGTGTCCTCTGCTAGGTTACCAGTGTTGACTACCTAGGAAAATGTTAATCACTTACTTTCTTGGTTGTTTCATAGGTTAAAAATCTATTCTCAGTATGAATTATTCTTAAAAATTAGCTGTGTGTGTGTGCATATAGATAAGTGAACAAGACTGCAGGTTACCTTGGAGGCCAGAGATATTAGAACCCCTGGAAGTAAAGTTACAAACAGCTGTGAGTCATCTGACGTGGGTGCTGAGAACCAAACTTGGGTCTCCTGAAAGAACAGCATGTGCTCTTAACTGCTGAGCCACCTCTCCAGCCCAGTTGTTCCTTTTAGAGAAGTCTTTAAAAAAAAGCTCAGCTTAGGGCTGGAGAGATGGCTCAGAGGTTAAGAGCACTGTCTGCTCTTCCAGAGGTCCAGAGTTCAATTCCCAGCAACCACATGGTGGCTCACAACCATCTATAATGAGATCTGGTGCCCTCTTCTGGCCTGCAGTCATAATGCAGGCAGAACATTGTATACATAATAAATAAAATCTTAAAAAAAAAAAAAAAAAAAAAGCCCAGCTTAGCCCAGCAGTGGTGGTGCACACCTTTAATCCCAGC